ACGCTAATCTGCCGAGCCCTCAATCAACACTCCGTCTCACGGATCTGTGAAGCCAGTGTCTGTCGTTAAATTACATGGGGTCAAGTAGTTTACACCAGAATGAAAAGGGCATGTTTTCTAAAATTGTGTTCCTATCACCTGACTGTTGTGAAAACCACACCTAAACAGAACCAGTGCTCCTTCTGGTGGAGGTCCCTGGTTGGTGTGGCTTTCTACCAAACCTGGTGAACAGGTCAGGCAGCTTCCCATGTGATGTGATGGAGACCCTAAAAAGTCATCCTGCCGAAAACAACCTTCCCCATTCCCTGGCACGACATCCCCGCCATGAACAACCCCAGTAAGTTAAAGGAGCTGCTTCCAATACAACCCCACTATCTGGGCGTTCTCGGCCTTCTTCACGGTGCTGAAGGTTGAGAACCACGGCTGCAAGCACCAGCAAACACGGCAGGAGCATCAGCGTTCTGTCCATAGGCAAGCTGTTCCGTGTCTTCAGATCAGTGGTTCTAGAAAGTTGACCAGTATCAGATTCACCTGGAGGCTTGTTAAGACCCAGCTTGCTGGGCCCCACACCCTGAGTTTCTGATCGGGCAGGCTTGAGATGGAACCAGAGACTCTGCATCTCTAACAAGGCCCTGGGGTGAAGTTGATGCTCTGGTCCAGCACTTTGAGAATCAATCACTGCCCTATTAATTTCTAAGGCATCTTCATGAGATAGGTAGGTGAAGTGTGAACGCATCCTGATAGGGAATGCAGTAGGAAGACAGAGGGCTCTGAAACAGAAAGGGGTCAAGGGCCCAAAGACAGGCCAGCCGAACAAACTTAGACCTTCTCAAGTGATCCACCAAAACACAAGAGCCGTTGGCTGTCCAAATTCTGCTGGGCCTCTGGCTCTTGCTTTCTTTCCTGGTGTCTTCTGCTTGCTACCCCAGAGAAAAGGCAAGCCTGGTGGCAGCCCCAGCGAGGAGACGGGGCTCCTCCTCTCAGCCATGGGGGGCCCCTCCACGAGGAGCGTGTGTTCACCCAGCTAAGCTGGCTGTCGGCGGACCGCGGGCTCTCGGGGGCTCCTGACACCACTTAGAATTTACACAGGACTCAGCCAAGTCTTAAACAACATTTTTTTTCCTCCCTCTTTGGAGATCTCTAGTTCCTAATAGGATAAATCCAAAGGAAAACATGCTCTGGCCCTTCAGCAGCCTCTTCTTGACGCAAACAACAAGGAACTCCTTAGCAGGCTGGCCGAGGAGGTAGGCGGGAAGGGTTCATCCCAGGAGCGGAGGCTGGGAAGCCATCCTTCAGGTGGGGCCTCATGACTCACCTCTGGCCCTGTCAGGAACTGGTTGGTTCTGTATTTCAGGGGAGGGCAAATCGATACCTGAATGTCTGCACGATATTATTATGGCATCTACTGGGCAAATAGTTCTGTTCGTGATTTTGCCCTTCGTACATCTTTGAAAGAACTTTGATCAAACATCCTCCACGTGACTCTAACAAGAATCCTGTGAAATCAGCAGAATGGGAACAATGACAGTGTTTGACAGGAGACAACCGAGAAGAGAGGCACAGGAAAGCCAGTGGGCGTGGAGTTGAACCGTGTGTGGTGGCCACTCATCGTGAGATCTTGAGTGGGTCTCCTCCCCTTCCTAGGCCCTGGTTTTGTCATCTGTGAAATGAAGGGGATGGACAAGGCGATGCTGAGGTGAACTCAGTGGACACTACCCTGTGGCAGGCCCTGTTGTAGAGGAGGAGGTGTAGAGGTGAAGGAGGCCACTATCTACCCAGGAGGAAGTCACAATGAGGAGAGTGAGCCCCGGGTGGCTGGTGCTCAGTCACGGGGCCAAGTCCAGCCACCAGTCAGGGCACAAAGTCTGTCCCCGGCACTGGGCTCAATCAGCATGAAAAAAAAAGGAGTGCCATTTCATAACCCACACACAGGTGCTGGCCATGGCCCAGGTGAGCACGATCTTCTTCAAGGTGAGTACAGGATCCATAAAACTTTAGGAGGGGTCAGGTTTAGAGCAGCTCCCATGTAGACATGATCCTCCACACACAAAGGGGAGAGCAGATGCACACATCTGACCCCAATCAACCCACCAGCTGGAAGAATTATGTGCTCTCTTTCTGAGAGTCAAACCCTCTAACCGCATGAAATCAATGAACCCAACTAGCTTCCTATCTGTAATGTGCTGGTAAATGACTATTCGCCCATCTGTTCAGGACAGTCACAACAAGATCAACTGGGCCATGTCTCAGGCACAGTGATCAGACTCCCTGGGGAAGATGAGATGAACATGACATGCCCTCAAGAACCAAGGGCCTCTCGGCTTAAGGGAGCACAGAAGATGCAGACAAAAATACCCATAAGACAGAGCAGAGAATGGCAGATGCTAGAAGATCCAGGTTATGGGTTGGGGAAGAAGCAACAGGGGAATTCAGAGGAAGGAAAGACTAATTCCAACTGGGGACCAGCAAGCTTTCCAGAAGGCGATGTGCCTGGAAAGACCTTGCATTAGGACGCGAGAAGGCCCCAGTTCTAGAGTCCCTCCTGCCACAGTCAGCCAAATCATCTCAAGACAGCCGGTTCTCTCCATTTTAAAAGGGACCATTTGCCCTAAGTGCCTCACAGCTTTATAAGGATTAAATGAGAGCTGATTTAAATGCACATTGGGTAAATAAAAGCCCCAAATATAAAGTTTTTGTCATCACTTGGAGAAGAAGAAGGAGGTACATGAGGGAGGCTGACGGTACATGAGGGAGAAGGGGTGCGGGGAACACCTACCAAAAGCAAGGCTCACACGGACACCGACTGGGTTCACAACTGGCCCCAGTGATTGTTTTTTTTTTTTTTTTAACTTCCCACAGCTTATTTTATTGAAGAGACTCTAAGAAGAGTAAGTCAGAACACCTAAATTCTTCTGCATCAGTAACATGAGAGTCCCAACCAGAGAGGTGTCTTCCCACCCCGAGGGATAGGAGGGCGGCCACTTAGAGTCGGTGGCCAGGGAACCCGGGCCGGGGCCCGGGGTGCTCAGCAGACGCTCATTACATAATTGGATGGGCTCCCTACTACTTTCCAAGGGCGCTTTACATTCATGCTCCATTTTGATTTGTAACCGCAAGCCAGTGGGCAGACGGCATCTACAACCATCCCTGTCAACGATGGGGAAACCAAGGCTCCCAGAGGGCAAGTGACTGCCCACGTCCCTGGCCAGCACTGTCAGAAGGGAGCCTGGACTCCTGCCTCCTCACTTCCTCACACCACACACCTTCTAAGAATTGTTAGGGCAGCCAATCTTCACCCCAACAAATCACCCTTCCTGACTTTAGAGAAGGTCTCCTGTGTGCTGTTCAGAGCACTTTCCCTGGAACACGTCACTTAATCAGACCCTTTCATCAAGGCGGGGGGGGGGTCCTGTTTTTACTCCCGAATGGACTGGATTATTCCAATTCAGAAAGTGGTTTTGTGCATCCCAGAAATAAAGTGTCATGGATTCTCTGGTCCTTTCACCAAGTAAGAATTGATTTGGGTTAAAACCTTCAGTTCGATTGTTTGGAATCACTGCTTCTTAGAAGAAAGTGAAGGTACAAACAGCAAAGGGTATTAGGGAGACAGAAAGGCATTATTATTATTATTATTATTATATTTTTACCATGGATACTCTTGCCTACAAAGTCAACCATCCATCTTGACAGATGGCCTGGCTGCAGGATGGGGGCCAGGGGGCAAACTCTCGGTGAAGGTGGCACTAAGGAGCTAGAGCCAGCTAGGCTGATTTGGGGTCTGAAATCTGGGCTGGAGCCCAAGCTCCAGGCAGTGAGGGCGGGACAGGGAGCCCTGCCGTCCCCTCCCCTGGGTGCACTCTCACTGTGGCTGCACCAGACAGGTCAGTGCCTTTCTATGAGTCTGTGACCTTCTGGCTGCGGGCAAATAAGGTGGCAAGGGACAGCAGAGGAATGGGGCCTCGGAGAGAAAGATGAAGCATGTTCAAGGTCAGAGCTACCCTCCCCTTTCATGACCCACCTCAGCCACTTTGGCTGACCTACTTCCTAGGGAATGTTTTCACTCTAATAAAAATTCATGGCTCAAAGGTTTTGGCAGAAGGCTCGAAGTCACACCCACCCCACAGCTCTGTTGAGGGATGCCTGGTGACGTGTGCTCGGGCTGAGGTGCTCAGAGGCTCCCCTCAAGTGGCAGGAACAAGGCGGGGGGAAGAGAACTTCAAAGCATTCCCAGTTCCCGAAGGGAGCAGTGGATTAGTTAAGAAGAGGTGTGGGGACTTGAGAACAAGTGTCAGTATCTCCATCAGCGTGGCTGGGTCAGCTCTGATCTCTGCAGCTGGTAGAGCATTTAGCCCTGACACGTGGGGTCTCAGAACTGTCCAGACACCTGTACCGTTAGTATGACACCGGGAGGCCAGAGCATCATGGGACCTGGGAGAGCTGAGCCATTAGCTAGACAGTGTACACTGAGGATTAGTTTATCAGATTCACTGTTTGTGCCCTCCGTCCACAGACAGACAGAACGGGACACAGAGTGGGAGGAGGAGGCAAGCTCAACTAGAGCAGAAGGCTGGTGTGCCGGGGAGCCTCACCGGGAGTCCTGAGCAGACAGCAGGGAGAGGTGGTATTAGGTGGATGGAAGAGATAACAGGATGCTCGAGGCAAATTCACCAACCACAGTTTTAAAAGCCATAGAGTTTAGAGCTGGAAGTAGGTGATCTTCAAGATCACCTACTCCAACCTCATCTTGTACAACTAGGAATTCTTGGTTGTGGCCTTGGCGTGGAGCCAAGCCTAAGAATGAGGCCACCGCTCCGACCCCCTGCCTGACCAACAACTGCTTTTCAGGCCAGTGATCTTTCTAGCACGCACCCTCCAGCCTCCTCCAGGTACGGACCCCAGTCCCCTGACTCCAGTGGAGCTGGGAATACCCTCTTGAACGACCGCGAGCACTCTTGAGGGTTCTGTGGACCACCCATATCAGCCATTCCAGCCAGACGTACCTTGTGTGAATAATGCTGGTCAACGATCCTTGCCAACCCGAAATCCCCGATCTTGAGCACGAGGTCCTCTGTGCTGATGAAGATGTTGGCGGGCTTCAGGTCCCTGTGCAGCACATTGGCAGAGTGGATGTACTTGAGCCCGCGGAGCAGCTGGTACATGAACAGCTTTGCATGTTCCTCCGTCAGCGTGCCCTGCTCCAGCAGACGCGCCAGGTCAGTCTCCATGTGCTCCTGGACGATGTAGGCCACGCTGAACTTGAACAGCTCGCCCTGCAGGTCAGTGCCTTTGGGTCCCAGCACCTCGTACACCTTCACGATGTTGTCATGGTCCAGGCGCCGGATGATCTTGATCTCCCGGAGCGCGTGCTTCATGCTGCGGGCGTCGCTCAGGATGATCTTCTTCACGGCCACCTTCCGGCAGGCCCTGCTGTCCACGGCCGACAGCACCAGCCCATTGACGCCGAAGCCCAGGGGTTGGAAGTCAACAAAGCGCCCACCAAGGTCATACCCATAGACACTGGCGACGCAGTCACCCTTCTCGGCCATTGTTGGCTCAGTGGTCAGGGTCTGCCCGGGCGATGGAGGGGCAGTCAACGGCGGCCACGTCCTGGGTAGCGGCTTCCCCAGCACACCTCATTCTGTCGAGTCCCAGAGCTGAGGGCTCCTTTTTCTCGTGGTGATGTCACTGCCACCAGCTCTCTGGAGAAAGGGGTGGCATATGTCCACGCTTGCCAAGCTGTGGAAGGCGAAGGCTCAGACTATTTTCTTAACCTGCGTTGGGAGGGCTGGACTCCTCTGGACCCTGAACTCTCCTCGAAGCTTAGAATGGCTCATGCTCTTTTCAAAGGTAGCGTCTTGGAGAGAAAAACCAGTCCCATTATCTATGTGAGTGTGAAGTTTTCTACCATAATGGACCTCAAGGTAAAAGACGCAGAAACTCTCTTCTTTGAAGCTTTTGTTAAAAGACGCCCCTTCCGGCTGAAGTGTGGAGCTGTTGCTGAGCTGTGCTCCTTGACTTAAGATGGTCCAGAGCTCGGTTCTGTCACAGCGTCCAGCAGCTTGGCAGCTATTCTCTGTGTCCTGAGCAGGATGAAGTGATCCCAGCAATGGATTCTGGAGGCTTCCAGGGGCTTCTTTCTACTTCTGCTGGCTCCGCTTTCTACCAGCTCCCCTTAGATTCTGCAACCCAAACCAGGCTGGTGAGCACTGGTGAAGAAAGCCAGAGAAACCCAACCACCTTTCTTGAGCTCTACACCAAGTTACACCTCAAGTCCCAGCGCTGAGGGGCACTCAGCTGCCAAGCCAGGATCCTCCAGAGGCTTCAGATGGGGCAGCGTCCTCTGTCACCCCCTCCTCCACGCCACCTTCCCCAAGACTGTGTGCTGCTGGACTCAGAGAGGCTGCAGGAATGCGGCATCTTTCAGACCATGTCTCCTTTCCTGTCAAAGGAATAACGTTGGGTAAATTTCCACACTCCAGCTTCCAACACCTTCCCACTTGCGTGTCCTTTGTTAACCAGCCCAAGTGTTATTTGATCTGTCCAGCCAGCTGAAACACTGCTTGCTCAGGGGATTCCAGGCTCTGCACTGCCCAGCCGCCCCTCCTGCTGCGTGCAGCACTCCCCTGGAAGAGAGAGAAGATGGATTGATTTGATAAGATCGTCAAACGGTGTGCCTTTTATGTAAATGCCTGCTCCCCAAAGGTTCACACACCCAAATTGTGGGTGGGGATGATCCACTCTGACTTTTGAGAAATTAACTCTAAACACATGCATCAGCACTAGCTGGGAAGGTTGAGAGTAAAAAGTAGCCGCAGACAGAAAATACAGGATCGATAATTTTGTGTTTCCACTTGGACCCCTTTGCTTCCCTCTTTTGCAAATGTCTTTGGATATTTTGAGAAAATTTGCCATGTGCTGATATTTAATTACATGTGTATCTCTTGCTTTCCACAGAGGCAGCATAAGCACACATACTAAATAAGGAAATTTTATTGCCACCCTGTAAATTTTATTGCCACCATGACCTGAGCCGAAGGCAGACACTTAACCACTGTGCCACCCAGCAAAGTAGGGCACAGAGTTCTTAGCACGACACCAGGACTGGCGTGGTGAACTGTATTCTCTTTGATGATGGGGACGTAGCTCTTCAAAGCAATGGCTCAAATCCTAGCCTGACTGCCCCCTGGTGGCTGCTGACTCAAATTACAGGCACAGGACCTAAGAGGGGCGAAAAAAAACATTGTAAAACACTGCAAAACAAACAATGTAAAATCAGACCTCTGGAGTAAAGGCAATGCCATAGCTTTTAAGGGAGTGGCAGGTTTTATAAGTTTATTAAGCCCGTGGACACTCAGAGAACAAACACTGTACCCTGCACAAAGGAGTGAATCTAGCAGGGCTATTTCTTAATTCTCATCATCCTGTCGGGTCCTCTGTAGGGATGCTTTCATATCTGAATTTTGTGCAACTCTGTAAATGATAAATGAGGCAAAACAACAGTTAACTCAATGTCTGAAATTAAGGGGGCAAATCAGGGGACAGAGATGATCTGAAGTAGTGAACACTCAGATCCCCTCTAAAAACTTATGAAAGAGATTTGCCAAGGGTCTGGAATATAGTAAATGCTCAGCAGATGTTAGCTATTGATGACTTTGTTAGAAATTCCCTTGCACTTGAATGAGATGTACCTACTGTTCTAATGTTTTGTCAAGATCTTCAGCAATTCTACTCTGCATGTTTTTATCGGTCCCAGCAGCAAAATAACCTTGGTCTTACAGAATTTCAGACTGGGAAGCAATCATAGCAAACAAGTCTAGTGGTCCTTAACTGGGGATGGTACTGCCCTACCCGGCTAATTTTTTTGTTTTTAAAGATTTTATTTATTTGACAGAGAGAGACACAGCGAGAGATGAAACACAAGCAGGGGGAGTGGGAGAGGGAGAAGCAGGCTTCCCGCTGAGCAGGGACCCTGATGTGGGTCTCGATCCCAGGACCCCGGGACCATGATCTGAGCCGAAGGCAGACACTTAACCACTGTGCCACCCAGGCACCCTCCCTGGCTAATTTGACTAGGAGTCACTACTGGCCTTGAAGAGGCAGGGCTAGATTGGCTAACCATCATGTGAAGCAGTTCTATCAGTGAATAACTGACACCCACCCCCAAATGCCAGTACTTTTGCTGAGACAGAATGATTCTGGTCCAAGTCCTCACTTTGCAGATGAGGGCACTGAGGTTCAGAGGACACCAGCTCAGTGCTTCCAACATAGACAGGGTCAATAAACATTTGATGGATTGAGAAATGAATACCATTCACTCTGAGGAGTCCTTGCCAATTAGAAAACAGTGCTAGGACCACCCTCTGCACCACACTCTGTGGCCATGCTAGTGATACCCACCTGGATACCTAATTCAGGGGAACCAAAGAGCCACCCCAGTGCCCCATTCCATCCTCCTCTCTCACTGCGCATCAGGTAACAGAAACCAAACTGGAGCTTCTTTCACTCTCTATCCATATGCCTGGTCCAGTTCCCAAGGGTACAGCAAATAGGCAATTATATATTTTGCTTTACGAGAAGAGATGCGTAAGTAAGCCTTCTTCCCTTGCCAGCTCCCATTGGGTTGTAAACAGACAGGACTGCGCACCTAAGCAGGGAGATGACATCACCGGCAAATGAGAGCAGGATTTGTTCCAGATCAACTGCAATGCAGATAATCTGTGAATAATTAAGAGGTGCTTTATTTATTTTTAAAACTCCTTCCTCTTCCTCTCACATGGGAGAGGGGCTGTCTCCCCTGTGCCCTTGCTTGCACGCATGTGTGTGCGCGCGTGCAAGCAGTCTCCCCAACGCGCTATCTGCTCCCGCGGGCAGGTACCATGTCACCTTGGGAAGACTTGATTCCAGCCACTTGGCCTTCCTCATGGGCCTCTAAGAGTGTATACTCTTTCAATTTCTGCCTTCCTTCTTTGCTTGCGCCTTCCCTGTTCCTGAAATGTCCTCCTGCTTCCTCCCCACTCGTTGAAATACTGCCCATCACTCAGAATCCAGATGGCATCTCACATCCACTCTAGAGTTCCCGTTCCCGGAGTGTCCCCAGTGACATTCTCGCTGCTCTATGCTCCTGCAGTGTTCGTGTGTATGCTGTCTGTGACATTCTCCATATACGAACCTGGGCTGTTATTTAACCGTTTATATGTGTCCATCTCCCGCCTAGACTTCAAGCTCCTCAGGTCCCGGCCCAAAGCAGGACTTAGACAATGACTGCAGTCCAAGGAACATTCGTTCATTGTGTCTACCGAGCAGTCATGCCCACATTTCCTGCACAGTCAGCCTCCCCTCCCTATGTCTGCTGCCTCAATACAACTTGTTCAAGAGGGCTCTTCTCGCGACAAGCCCCAACCACCCAGACACATGCCAGCCCTCTTGGTAGCACCTTCTGCTTCGATGCTGCTTGTCCTAGAATTCCAGCACCACCCAGGCAGCCCGAGACTGACCGTTTCTCTGTTCCCATGTGAGTTTCCTGTTACTCACCCCTTCTCAGCCCTCTTTACTTTCTCAGTTTCTAGAATTCCTCTATAATTTCCACGGTAAACCTTTTGCCCCTCTCCACAGGTGGACTGATTACAAAACACCTAGTACCTAAGATGTTTCGGATTAATGGTTCCTTGTTTGCGTGACACAGCAGGGGGCATGGGCCCAGGGGCCCTGGAGAGCCCCCCCCCCACCATCTGCAGATGTGCCCACCTGGGCAGAAGAGTTATTCTGGCAACTTCTCAGAGCAAAGCACAGCCATTCTCTGTTTGAATTTGGTGGTTCAGGGAGGCTCTGAATCTGGTGCGACTTCAAACCAGGGAGTGGGCATTCACCTTGAAGGAAGGAAAGGTCATGGGTTCAGCTGTGCTCAAATGACAATGAGCAAGAAGAACACATGTACCTCCTGCAACGGCAGCCCGGGCTCCCGTGACTCGTGGTGAATGTCATAATAAAACTCAGGAGTAGAAGTATCTACCCCCAGGACTCCTAGCAATGGAGCTTCATCTCTCCACTGATCTCCCATGGACTCTCCTGCAAAACTTTGTTTGAGGCCAATTAATTATCCTCTCATGCATCCAGTCTTTTAACATGTGGAGGCAAACCAGAGACGAGATGGTGTGTGCCAACTGTCCCTTGCTGGGTTTCCTGGGGATCTGGTTTATAAAGAGGCTTTGGAAAGTCTAAATTTAGACTCCACTCTTCCTGTTCAGATCCTCCCAAACCTCATGCTGCTGTCAACTTTCAGCAGGAACGATGGCTCCCAATGAGGTGCTGATATTTCACAGACAGAGCTTTCTTTTTTCTCCTGAGCACCCGAAAACTTGCAGGAAATCCTTTTCAGGCAAGGCTGATGTTTACAGTTGAACAGGCTGCACACTGCAAAATTCTAGGTGACACCATTCACATTATAGTCAAGTCTGTCTGACTCTAAGGTTCATGACCCTAATCACTATAGCCATGTGAATAAAGTCCTCTAGACCAGAGATCAGCAAATTTTTTCTGTAAAGGGCCA